TTGTAATTTGCACTCGTGTTACAAGTTTGCACTCGTGTTACACATTTTGCACTCGTGTTACAGAAGAGCTGCACTCCTTTCTCAGCCAATCAGAATTAAGTAATTTTTTCGTGTATATTATTAAGCAGGAAATCTACTTACGGTTCGCGAGAAACGGAACTCTATAGCGGCGCAAGACGAATGTTTTGGGAGGCCAGGATGTGCTTACAAACCATTTACTCTATCTATGCGACGAAAGGAGAAATCACTGGCATGATAACTCGTGCAATGGTAATTTTATCATTCAATTTTCGCTCCAGAAGGCTGCGGCAACCTCGTCTGGCGCGCGTCTCGGTGTACGTACATTGTACTTCCAAAACATTTTGTGATCGGTAAGTAGACTCGCTGGACTTATTTCCTCAAACCATTCGATTTCTACACCCTATTCTTTGTCTGAACATTCTAGCAAACAAACAAGTAAATCTGGATCCAAAATGAAATTGTCTCCCTAAACGCGGCCAGATTATATTGTGCAGGATGGCGGCACAATTCAACATGTCTTTCAGGTCAGCCCTAATTTGTAGTTTGTAGTTTGTAGGAGTATAAAAATTGCGATCTCCCTATTTTCGCTTAAGCTTTCTTTGATTAAACCTTCATAGAAACAGAACAACGCGGACATTCTCCTGCATAAAACCAGTTACTTAATCGGCTGGAGGAAATATCTACTTCCAAGTCGGGTACTGAAATGCCTATACATGAACTACATTTATCCCATCTTGCACCCCGCACACTCAGTCGCAGAACGTTAGACAAAAGAAACTAAAAGCAAAGAAGAACTGTTAGCGAAAACGATAAGACTGCCAGCGAAGTTTGCCGGATGAGTAAGTGCTTATTCCCAAGTAAATTATTGTTGAACTCTGATTTGGTTACCTGGATAACTTTCTGTTCTGTTCTGTCCTTGTATGGTCAGTTTTATGGCAATTTCAGTGTCCTTCTATATTAGCTTTGATGTCTGCGAATGCCACAACGATGTTTGGCAACAGAAAAATAACTACAAAGAACCGTGACTCAGTATTGGCCTGTCTTCGTGCTAGTCGGGCTCACTTAAACTAATTTTAATACGAACATCAAGCTCAAGTTATGAGTACTAGAGTGCTGACTGCCAGGGCTAGGTACAAGAAGGTAATCTTGTACTTAGATCTCTTGCGGGTTTTGTTTTTTGTAACATTATTATAGCGAAATCAAAGCTCAAAGTAGTACACGTCAACTTCTACGCGGCAATTCCTTTAGTACAAATCCTTTTCAAAAGTCTTTATTTTGATAAGTTAAAAATGGTTTACAAGCTATATTGAGACGGAAAACCAGTTCTTCAACAAAAATGTATTTTGAATAGCGCGTGCATATAACAACACTCACGTCATTCCTTCACAATCTAGCCAATTAAAAAAATAAATTTTCTTACTTGCCCAGATCTCGCCTCCGGCGGCTTCGTCGACAAGAGGTCTGGGTACGGGATTAACAAGAAGGCACACCCAATTGGCGCACCCAGGCCTCCTAACAGTCTACACAACCAAACGGAAATAAGGAGAGATAGATTTATCTTGCAGATAACAAAATGCTTTTGTATTAGTTGATCAAGCGTGACTGGGTGGCAAAAGTTGTTGGTCTCTTACAAATTAGTCTAATTTTCGGCGGTTGTTGCAATCGCTACTTTTGAGATATATTAATTAATTAATTTCAAAAACTTATGAGGCGCAAATATCTATTTAAATATATTCAAATGCGTCATAGGGGAAAAAAAACAAAACAACAACAACAAAAAAAAACAATAATACTACTACTAATAAAAATTATGAATAATTATGATAATAAAAATGATGAAATAAGATGATAATATAGATATAGAATAGAAAAACTAACGGCTAAAGGTTAAAAAGATAAAATCTGTTAGCAAAATCTTAATAATTATAAGCTAAAAATACAATCTTATAATCTAAGTGGTACAAAATGCTTTTTTAAAAAGGTGAGTCTTCAACTTTCTCTTAAAAGTGTCAACTAAAATGGATTCCCTAATAAATCTTGGCACTGCATTCCATAACTTAGGTGCAGCAAACAGAAAGGCCCGTTCACCGAGAGTTGGATAACTATGTAGGGTACTGTCGCTAGAACTTCTTAAATTATATTTACATACAGGCTTAGGAGTAATTAAAAAACTTAAGTACGAGGGTGCTAAGCCCTTAAAAATCTTAAAAATAATCAACAGGATTTTAAATTCAATTCTGAACTTTACAGGCCGCCAGTGTAAATCTACTAATAAAGGAGTAATGTGACAATATTTACTTTCATTGCATATTAATCTAGCACACATGTTCTGCACACGCTGTAGCTTATTGAGTTGATACTCCGGCAGGCCATACAAAAGACTGTTACAGTAATCGACTCTGCTTGAAATAAAGGCATGAATCAGAGTTTTGGTGTTGTCTTTAGATAGATATTTTCTTATGCGTCTCAGATTATACAAATAATAGAAGGCAGAGTTACATGTTTTTGATATATGGGTTGCCATCGTCAGCTTGGAACCAAACCATGAGCCCAAGTTCCTTGTAGACGACACAGGAGTGATAGTTGCAGTCCCAACACGAAGGCTGTTAATAGATACTTTAGCTAGTTGCTGTGATGTGCCAATGACTATGAATTCAGTTTTATCATCGTTCAGTTTCAATTTGTCTTTCAGCATACAGTTACGAATGTCTTCAATACACCTTTCGACCCTAGCCAAGGCGGCGTCTTGATTAGCATTATCATTAGGACAGAAGGATAAATAGAGTTGGCTATCGTCCGCATAGCAGTGGATCTCCTCTAAATTATGTTTGCCAACAATTTCAAATATCTTGCTAGCATAGACAACAAACAACAAAGGCCTTGAGAGTGTGCCGTCGATTGAAACTTGCTGAGTTCTGCCACTTAAATATGATGCAAACCAGGACAGTGCCATATCCCGAACTCCAAATGCAGACCTAAGCGTCTCAAGTAAGATACCGTGATCAATGGTACAAAAGCTGCGCTCAAATCCAACAGAACAAACAAGGTGACATGCTGTCTGTTCTTGTTTAATAAAATGTCATTTTTTACTTTCAAGAGAGCGGATTCCGTGCTGTGAAACTTACGATATGATGATTGTAGCGAGGGAAATAAATTATTCATGTTGATGTGGTGCTGAAGTTGTTTGGCTACCGCACTCTCAGTCAGTTTGGAGATGAATTGTAAGTTACTAACAGGTCGATAGTTTTTGAATATTGGTGAAAAAAATGGCTGAAAATTTACAGGTTACCTGATTTTAATATGCTCTTTCAGCTCGTGCTAACAAAATTCTTCAAAAGCAAACTCTTTTCGTGTTTACTGAAATTTGATCACGTGATCAACTAATGCAAAAGGCCTATTCTTTGCAAGAAACGACGTGGGTAGTAGGCCTGTATTTTGGAGCCCCAGTCAACGTCACGCTTTTTATCACATGCTAAGATGAATAATTTGCACACTTGGTAAATTGTTAGCTTAATATGTGTGAACTCAGTGTCGAAATCAATAGTTCAGATTGACAACAGACCACTTTTTGAGGAACCTGGAGACCAAGAGGAACCGTTTTTATTTTAAAGTTCGTTGTAATAGCAACGCTTTGACCTGTTAAACAAGGCTTGAGAGAAAAACAACAGACTAGTATTTCGAAATACTTTTCACGGTGGGAGAACGAAAGTTCAGCAACTAATTAGTCTGTAACCTTTGATGCGGATCTGCATGCTAGTAATGTATATGAAGAATGTTTTGAAGGTGTTAGTTTTTCATTTGAAATATATAAACCAGCAGTCAAGGTAGAACAGCTGTGGAAATATTACTCCAAAAAACATTATTTTTACAACTGACTCTTCAATTGTTTTCATAGGTAAACAATGGAGAGACATATTTCTTTTGAATTCGAAATAAACCTGCTAAAGATAATTTTTGTCGTCAATATTTTCACGTTTTGAACCTATCATATCCCGTGGATGCATGTTTACTTAAACACAACGCAAGGCTTGAGTTCACATGTACAGCTTTGACTTAACGGAGAGGATAGACCTTCTAGCATCTTAAGTAAGTGGTCGTTCTTTTCTTTGCATTTTAAAACTTTTGAATATATTTTAGTCGCGAAAAAAAGAAGTTCAAGCAAAAAACCTGTTAATTGAAGATAGACTAATATCAACAGAGTACAGACTTTTTTTTACAGCCCTTTCTTCCGGCCCCACTTTCACATGATCCATATTATTTCAAACGAATGAGATGATTCTCTCACGAAGCAATAACCTGCGATCAGGCGTTCTTTTTTCGGGATAGCGCGAAAGTCGGCGCAACCAGGCGTTCTTTTTTCCCCTCGTCTCCCAAACATAAAGGGAAGAACGATCACCTGATCGCAAGTTAACGAAGCAAGAAATAGAAAAACTCTGATTTCAAATTGAGAACTAGGGGTAAAGTTGATGTTATGAAAATTTTGATAACTATTATTTTCTATTTTCAGCCTTTGTATATATTTCTACAGGCCAAGCAATATGCATTTCGTGACATTAATTCTTTACCTTGCTTGCCACACTGTTTTTGTATTATCTGGTAAGTTTTACAATTATAGTTTTACCAAAAATACATCGTTCTTTATTTTTTTCTTTTGAAAAGGTCATATAAGAGACAAGAACACTGTTGGATAAGTAGAGAGCAAGAAATGTTGAACTAGCCAAGTCACTTCCGACTCTGTTCAAAATGGCATTAAAGAGATGTGGCGAGATGAAGACTCAGGCCGTCTTATCATCAGTGTCTTTTTCATCTTTTATTCGTTAAATTGGATATTTTACGCAAATTCAACGCGTATGATCTACATTGAATAGTATTAACTAACACATAAACAGGTGGGGAACCTTTTATAAGATAGAGTTGTATAGTATACACCAATGCATAAGGCCGACCGAAGTAATGCACGCGCAACAACTTCTTACTTCTTTATAGGTCGCTTAGAAAGATGTGGAGAAAACTTCGTTAAAGTGGGATGTTTTAATGACAATACAAGACCTCTTCCGGAGCTGTTGTTGAACAAGAGAAATCAATTGGTCAGCGGCTGGAAGAAGTGGAGGGAATTTTTAGAAGGGTATAGTACGAGTACAAGCTGCGGTGGCGACAACGTAGACGTAATGATAATTGTTTAAAAGGCTCGGCAAGATGAAAAACATCTTGAATGGGATAATTTCTAAGGAAAATGTGGTGCCGCATTCACGAATTACCGGCACCATCTCTAATGATTCGAAAAGCTTATATTTGTAGAGACGCAGATCTTTCTCAGGTTTCTTATCATTTGATACAAAGCCCATTTTTGAAATAAAATTTTGAGCTGTGGTATTTTCCTCAAATGGGCAAAAACGATTCACTAAAATCTTAACCTTAAATTTTTCAGTACGTAACGTCCAAATGTCTTATTTTTACATAAGCTCGGATTCCTCTGTTCTTTTCGGGGGGTATATATTACTTATATATTAACATGATTAATAATCATCATTCAATGTGAACATTTAGCCTTGTATGTTGCAAATGTATCCTTCAACTTAAGCTCCTGCACTACTGTTTTCAATCAATCAAATTTCCTTCGCTTATACAGTAGTCGTGTGATAAGGAAACTGATTGGGTGGATATATGAGAGGGAATATGTTTATCTAATCAAAAAAGGTTAGGCTTGCCATTGTGGTAACGGAATCTTAAAAGACAAGCAAAACCAGTGAAGAGATATCAAACTAGTGCACCGCCAGAGAAAAAAATCAGGGAGTGAAAATCGCTCCTTCTTATCTCATAATTGTCACTTTTATTTTAAAGCTTGGCCTGCAGTTGTGCGAACAAGACAAGAAGGAAAGGTTTCGCATATTTTGGTCTTCAATTTTACGGCGAGTGCTGGAGTGGAGTCAAACCTAACGTTACGCATGCGTCTGACGGTATCTCCAAAGAATGTGTGGGACAGGATTTCACCATTCGCTGCAAACAAAAAGATCCATTTTGTGTGGGAAAAGGAAGAAGCAACTACGTTTACCGGCTTGTTACGCCAACTTCAGCTCCTGGTAATTGATGCACTTAAAATATATTCACGCAGCTGCTTATTTTTTTCAATGAAACAGCGGGTAAAGGAGTGTCGCAGTGTCGCCCCGTTTCCACATTCCAGTTTTTGCTGCTTTATCCCCGGAAAAACCTGTCAAAAAATATATTACAAGCCTTCAAATGCAGTTCTAGCCCACCTACTGTGACTCCATGTCGGGCGCTAGAGACAATGACATCCGAATTTATGTAAGGAACAATGAACGTGGTTGCTAACGTTACCGTAATTGTCTCTTTTTTTTTCCTTTACAGAATGCAGAGACAGGAGTAACTATTGCGCTGAATATGCCAACAAAGGATATTGCAAAGCATATGAACATGTTCGAATTCAATGCCCATATTCTTGCAAAAAATGCTAGGAAAACTAAAATAGTAATTTTCCAATAAAATACTAGTTTTGGCTTAATGTTATTAACCAGGTCTTGTGCCGAGGTGTTGAAATATTGATCTCGTCACAGGGCGCCAGCACAATCTGTTTGTGTAACCGATGTAACTTTATGGTAAACTTAATGTATTTACAACCTTTTGCTGCACCTGTAGCGGTGTATCGCTAAATATGTGCATGTATCAAAGCTAAATAAACGTTGTGTTACCTTAGGCAAAAGGACGACAATTTATCGTAGGTAAGGTAACACAACGTTTATTTAGCTTTGATACATACACATATTTAGCGATATACTGCTGCAGATAAAGTAAACGGTAAATACAGTACATAAATTTTTTAAAAAAACCTTATTAGTCAAAATGTCGAAAAGAAAACATTTCTGTTGGACATAAGTCATAGGGGCTTAGTCTCGAAATATCTTTTGTCCTCAAAAAGAGCACAAATGTAGCGACAGGAGAGCATAATGAAGTTATATCTTCTTAGTCGTCTACTTTCCTCAACTGCATCACACGCTTTTCACTTCGACTAATACCACGACTCAGACTGCTCAATAAAACAGACAGAAATTTAAGGGACCAACTGAGATCAAGACGGAAACATAGGATCAGTTTAACTCCTTTATTTTGATGATTAATCGTAATGAAATTTTACATTCTCCTTTTTAAACTGAAGACCGTTGCGAAATTCCGTACCAGATTCTCACTTTGAGGCCGGTGTGGGACTTGTGTTGACAGTACCAAGAATAAGCATGTCGCCAGGAATGTAAACCTCGGTCATGTAAAAGACCTTCTTGTTGGGGAAGAGAACTTGAGTGATGGCAAAGGCGGATATGCTTTGAAAGTTGAATCGCAATCCTGACAAGTAGTTGTCCACTGTGCTGGTGATGGTATTCTTAGCAGTGCGGAATTCCGAGCCGCGCCATCATTCCGTGATTGAGGATACACTGCTACTGGCTGATCCAGATACAGCCTCCTCAGTGTATGATATCGTCAAGTCTCCGTCAATGGAAGGCACAAAGTTTCTCACAAAATTGGTGGTGAAGGTCACTGTTTCGTGTTCAGTTGTGTCATGACAGAATATATACCACCACATTGATGGCTAGGATACGGAATACTCATGGCCAAGTTACTGTCGACCCAGTGGACTTGAAGCTTTTGACCTTTATTAAAAGGTTTTGCCGAAAGGGTGTTTCCAGGAATGGTGAAAGTAAATGACAGTGATTTGTATCTTGAAAAATGTAGCCTCATAGGTAAGCTACGAGATGCACCTTGATCTCCCTTGACGTAAAGGGACTGCTGACTGGGTGATACCGATTGCCCTGGAAGAACGTCCGTGTGTACTCCGAAACCGAATTTGTTTTTTATTTCTTCCTTTATTATATCTTTGAAGATGATTCTGTTACTGATGAGCAAAGCAACTTCAAACTTGTTAGGGATAATTTTCTTGTCAATCGAGAGCGGGTCGTTAAAGTCTCGTTTGGTTTACTCCGTTGCAGTCGCGCTGGCAGAACGTGTCTTAAAGAAAATGAACAAAGTTCCATAGCCAGAAGTTGAAGTTGCAAATCCACCCGTTGCAAGATAAAACTTATCAGGCACAAGACTGCTTGGTGTGAGCTTATCTTCGTACGTGATTCGCGCCAACTCGAAATCTGTCGATTTTAACTTCGTGTTGAAGAACAGCTGAATTTGGTTTCTGATAGTTAGTTCTAAGTGTCCTTTAAAAGGTAACTCTAAGACTTCAAAAACTCCATTGCTTAAATCAAGAACCACTCTGGAATCTTTTGTCAACGATCCATGAACTTGGAGTAAATTCATGGTGCCCGAAATTTCACTTCCGTCACTTAAGGTTGCGGTTTCATTGTAATTATCTTCGGTTTTACGTCTTTTACTAAACTCCCAGTACTCCATTACTGCACTTTTGATTTTGATTTTCAGAGTTGCCCTGTCTTGGTTGTTTCTAACAAACTGGATAATGGGTGGACCGACTTTCATCATGCCCCTCGTTTCCACCCTAAAACTTCTGCTATCTGAGGCCAGTGTCCTTGCAGTTGTTATACTTTTCACGAAACCAGCGTTGGTGTCAGCGTCGTACTGATTTTTCCAAGCTCATTCACGCGCTCAGCGCTTACTGCCATTATGGCATCCCATTCACGCACCAGTGAGCGACCACTTAGATCGGTGAGAAGTTTATCCTTGCTACCTAACACATCGTCGGAGAAACGTCGATGGAGAAGTTGATCATTGTTAGTCGATGGTGGAGGGTGAAAGATGACGTTCACGTAGAATTTAATTCTGAGAGTGGTACGTTTTGTCGATAATTCCTTTGTTGGTGGTCACTTTTGGAAAACGAAATACCCAGTCGTCAAACGGCGTCACTTGTATAAACGTATTGACAAAATTCGGAGATGGATTTACATCCACGACCGATTTTCCAGTTTTAATGTTGTAGACAAAGCGCTATTCAGTGGGTGTCCATCTTCTAAATTGAAAAGATTTCTTTAATATCTGGATTACGAAAAAATCAAGGTCTCTATCTTGGAATGATTCTCCAAAAAAAACTAACTTGAGGCGGTGGTCTTGGATATTCCATTTGCAGTGTCATCCGTCCAGCCGTGACCGTAGTCTCCGTAAAACTATTCAGTCTGCGCGGTCTCTATCTTGGAATGATTCTCCCGAGGCGGTGGCTCCGCTCTATTTTCAAAACACGAACGCGCACATAATCACGGAAAGGAAGAGAACTCAGTGGAACTGGGATAGTATACCCTTCCTTGGAGAGCAAATCGTTAACTGCTACATTAGGAACAGTCAAGTCGATTGGCTTTGACAGGTCCACAGGACGGGAGGGAAAGTTTTCCAGTGCTGAAACAGACGATTGCATCTGACGAACGGCTGCCACTTGAATGGCCATAGTGTCGTAACTTGTCACCAGGGTTGGTTTCTGAAGATAGTAGTATTGCAGGGCAGCATCCATGCTAACAAACGTTTGGATAAGCTGCGAACGAACTTGATTCTCTTTCATTTTGATGATGTTACCAATTTCAAAGAGATCGGTAGTTTTTGCATCGTGATTTGAGAGGTCGTTTTGTGTTAATCTTGTCTTGAGTGCTCGTAAACGATTGCTCTGTCGTTTGGCCAGCTCTCTCTGCATTTCAATTTGTATCTGTTTGTATTTTCGTTCGGCTATGTTTGCAGCAATGTTTACGTACCTCCTACCCCTAGCCGATAAACGTTTGGCAGCACGTTGAAAATCGAGTGCCTCTCCGGCCACTTGACCTGGGAGAAAGCCGCCCGGCGTTGTAAACGACTGCACATCTGTGTCAAAATCAATCCATTCCAGTTCCGTCGGGAAACTATCTGTACCTACCGCTGTACTTGGGATGTTTTCGAAAGCTCGGTTGATCGTGCCGATATCATTCCTCAAATTTCTGCCAAGGTCGTAAAGTTTACTTACTTGTTCAATTATTGTAACAACGTTCTTTAACTTTTCCGCAATCCGGACAATTCCTGTCAGCTTCTTGTCGATATTTGCCAAGCCGACGCCTCCTGTGAACAATGATCCAATAACTTCGGCAACGTTCAAAACTGCTGATATTATTTGCTCTTTTTCGTACTGTTTAAGTGCTTTAACCAATGCATCTCCAGTAGTTTTCACGTCATTTTGTATTTTCAGGATCTCCTGAAGTAACTTGTCAGCTTGACATTGTTTTCGGCTGATTTGATCTTTCTCTAAGTCATGGACAGCTTGCTGGGTCTTCGCAACGTCGTCTTGATGGAGCGCGTTGACTTCAGCCTCTTCAACCAGGAAAGAACCAATGCTCTTTACATTTCTGTTTAGCTCCTGTAGGGAATTTGTTGTAGTCTCTACTAGCCTGCGGCGTTGTATTTCAGTGGAGACTGTTCTGTATGTGGCTTCTTAGTTGGAGACAGCTGTCAATAGTCGTTCGTAAAGGGGTTGGTATTGGGGGAAGTTCAATCTGGGAACGATGAGTCTTGACCTGGCGTATTCTGTCAATTGGGTCTTACGTAACAATAAAACACGACCAAGGACCATTTCAAGGTCGGGAGATAAAGGCGAAGATCCCTTGGCGCTTCTTGTCAGGGTTTCTGTAACCCAGTTCAAACTTTCGCTTGCTGTTTTAACTGATTGGCACACTGGTCACAGTCAACTCCAGGCTGTTAACCAAGCTTTGGTGTAGCCACCTCGCTTCGTTTGTTGCTCCGGTAGTGTCGTAAAGTTCCGCTGCAGTTTGTTTGTCAGGATAAAGAAGTTTCTTTGTATTTTCCTCCTTAACTGTAAATTGGCCGCTTAAGTTCGAATCTTTTACAGTTTTGCAGACGTATTCGTTTGCATATGTGTAGTGTTTGCCATTCTTGGATTGGGTCAGCTTCAAAATACCACGAAATCGCTTGGCAATTATTTTGATGACGGGCTCAGAATTTGCGTGGGAGCCAACAATTATTTCTGGAACCTTGTTACCAGAGGACGACGCTACGAATTCTCGGCATACGAGAAATATCTTTCTGGACCCGGGCAGCCTCAACTGAGCAGTTTCCCTGATTTCCAAGACATCTGCATAAATAAATAAATGTGTGACGAACTTGGGATCTGAAACTACGAAATCGTCCAACTTGAAGTTCACCTGGGTTATAGTAACGTAGTTAGTTGCGGTAGATGTTACAAGATCTGGATTGAAACTGCCATAGAAACCCTCAACATTAAGGCTCTGGGTAGTAGGGAAGTTCGGAAAGCTAGCTTTCCCAAATTTCTGAAAAACTGTAGCGGACAAAACATCATTCCATGTTGACTTCGATGGTGATTCGGTCGTCAAGAGTTTATTGACGATGGGTTTGAAGAAAACGCGTATAGGAATTGCTTTGGTAAGAGTGTCTGTCATTTTGTCTGCAGATGGGCTTCCTGGGAACATAAAGATACTTGCAGCAACCCTGTAGATATCATCCTTCAACTTTGGTATGATGTTCTTCAAAGCAGCATCACCGCTGGCTGACAAAATCCTTCCGGCCTCACGACTGAATCCCTTGTCGCCCTTTCTTGGCTGGGTTAACTGGCGAAACGCGTAACTTTTGGGACCGAAACTGTATGCAGGATCTTGAAAGGGGAATTTAAGAATGTCTTTGCTGCCGATTTCTTTGTCATACACAAATACTTGGTAAATTAGGTCGCCAATCTCATAACCGGAAACGTAATGGGTACCATATTCTGAGAACAGTTCCGTTATCTTGTCGCTAGTAGCATCAGAAGAAACGGCCGATGACGTAAGATTTGAAAAATCTGCGTTGGTCATAGTTGTCTTGCTCATATTCTTCCAATATCGTGCCAGAACGTAGGATTTTCCCACCATGTTGTCAGGTGTTATCCCAAGGAGTTGAGCATAGGACCTCATGCTACTTTGGGACGCGGTCGTTGAAGTCGGTTGATAAGTAAATGCCGCCGCGTCTCTGGTCTCATCTTCGAAATGCCAAATCGAGAGGAACGTCTTGATCAAATCTCTTTCATCTGGATGGTACGTCACCTGGATAAAGCCACCGAAATATGTAATTCCAGTTTGGGTGGTTTCATGTGGGATGTTGTCAAACAGTTTAGATTTCGTTACGGGATAAAATAGCCGACTGAGATTACTGTCACCTGGCAGGACTGGCTTCATACCATGAAGAATGCTGAATGGTTTACCAAGACCATTGGCTGAAATTTAAGTCAAAATAAAGCGAACATCAATAAAAGTAAAATCTTGTCATGAGTAACGGAAGATTGTTAATAGCCTAAAAATATATGTGTGTAAATGGAAGAGAATTTACAATGGTGGCAGAATTGTTAATACCACTTAAGCTTGTGTAGGTCAGTGTAAATATTCAAATTCGCTCAACTTAACTTACATGTAAAGGCAAAGAGTACTTATTTTACTTCGGTAGCTTAAAATACAACAAACCTGAGACTAACGGTGCGCTCATTTTACTATCCCCCACCAGCACTTCTATCTTTTTCTAGGATTTGAGGTCACACCTGAAAATCGAACTCGGGATCCGGCTTACACAGAAGACCCCGGGTACTGATTGGGATTTGACCCCGCGGACCGATTGGAAACCAGTTGGACCGATTGAAAATCTCTACTAGCTTAATTCTTTTTTTTATATATACATAGCAAAATCTTTTTTTTACTCGTAGTCTACTTTCTTAAAACGAATAACAAGGAAGATTGGCTAAATTAAGAAATTGCAAAAATGCTAGAAACAATAAGAGCAGTAAAATCTAAATACTTCAAAAAAGGCATTTATGAAAATAGTGGTAATGTACGAGAAACTTGGAAGGTAATTAACAGTATGTTAGGTCGAAATACTACGACAACGTTGATAAGTGAGTTTTCTTTGTTTTTTTGTCAAACATATCCTGACAAAAAAAGTGAAAGCCGTTAAAATTAATCAACATTTCTGTTTACTGGGAGAGAACATTCCAGTTCTCTGATGGGAAATATATAAGTTGTGGAGTTCCACAGAGATCAATTTTAGATCCTTTACTGTTCTTAGTTTACGTCAACAACCTTCGCAATTGCCTGCAGCATTTTACAACGTGTATGTTGCAGATGATATGTATATTTCAATAACTGGTTGGAGTACCAGCGCAATTGAACCTAAACTTAAGAGCGAGGTAGAAGCAATGAACCAGTAGGCAGCTTCGAAAAATGTTATTTGACACTTGGATCTAGAAAAAAACACCACTGCATCTACAGACATGAAACTTACATTATATTGTATTTGATAAACCGGTATACGTAGAAGCTGGTAAAGAAGAAAACTACCACAAAGTTGGTGGGCGTACACATTAAAGATGAGACCCGGATATCCCAAATCATAACGTAAGTCACTGCTTTTTAGTATGCTGTATAAAACTAGATCTCTCGGTACTAAAGAAAAAAGAACATAAATCGATCACGAGTGCAGCTGTACTATGACTATTGTAGCTTTGTGTGGGGAAATTGCTCAAAAACGCGCGCAGATCAATTGCAGAAGCACCAAAACAGAGAAGCACGCATTATTACAAAAGCGGAGTATTCACTAAGATCATATGATATTCTAGAAGTCCTATCTTGAGCAACGCTGCACGATAGTTGGTAAATGGAAATGAGTATCTTGATGTGTAAAGTTTATCATGCAGCTGTACCAGAGAGCTGAAATGAGTATTTTCGGTTGACCTGTGAGGCGCAAAATCACAACCCCTTGGTTATTAAGTTCGACATGCATTTTCCAAAACCTAAAACGAACTCACGCGGGGAAATAGCATGGAAAGCACTTCCGAATCATGTTAGAGACCTGAACACACAAAATAGTTTCAAAGCGTTCTTGAGAGATCACCCTGGAAATGCTACTAACTTTTAGTATTTGGGCAAATACAAATATGATCGACCAAAGGGAGTGATTGAGTGATTTTCTCTTTAGAAATTTCAACCAACTTTAATTCCAAAACTCTTTGGAAGTTTTTTTTTCGCCTCAAAAATCCTTCAAAACACTGCAGCTTTTAAACAAAATTTAAGTGTAGAATGCAATTAACCATAATTACCATGATTACATAACTTGCTTGGAACTCGTGCTTTAGTCGGGACACCTTCGAGAGTCTCAAAATTTGACTTTCCCGACAATGGGCCACTTCCGAGTTCCAAAAACCCTCACTTTCAAAATGAGGCTAGGTGCACGATCTTTCTTGTGAAAATGAGTTTTATTTGGATGAGAATGAAAAATGATTTCCCTATCAAAGGCTGAGCAGCTACCCTCGTTTTGAAACAGAGGCCTGGGGGAACTCGGAAATGGCCTATTTTGTGTGCAAGAATACAGCGCAAGTATAAAACTTCACGAGCTGGTACCGCAGAGGGGAAAACGTTGTAGACTGTAGTGTGTCATGTGTAGAGCGGAATCCTAAAAGAGCGTTTTTATTAAAAGATATAAGGCCTTAACTTCAGAGATGATAGATTTTTCTCATTTAAATGCTTATATCTTGCTGACAAACTTTAAATTGTAAAATCTGCTCTATGCGTGACACACTAGAGGTTTTGAGTGATCATTTATTAATTAAATCACAGTCTCAACCACAATCTCAGTCTATTCTTTCCTAAAACTTGAACACAAAATCACGATTTCCCAATTTGGTACAACTGTGGCTTAAAGCATTGCCGTAAAGCGTGATATACCGAACAAAAAACAAACCTCCTGAACCTCCATCATTTCACAATGTCTGTAAAATTTTATCGAAATTGCGTCTAAAACAGCCGAGATATAAGCTTTTTAAAAGATGTAGCAAAAGCAAAATTTTGCCTTATGAATTTATTCATAGATAGTCGGCCTTAAATCATTGTAATATAGTTAGTATTTGTTCATAGATTTTTTGAAACGGCTAATTTGAAAACCAATCTGATTGTAAGTTAAAAGTTATTACCATATATAACTCAAGTTAATTCATTCATATTTTTTCCTCTTCTAAGTATAGTAATTCACATGATCAGAACGACTTCAAATTATCGACCTCATATCTGTTACAGCGAATATTGAGCAGTTAACCATACTCTTTATGCCAACTGATGTTTCTTGTTCCGGGGCTCTGTTTTCTTTTCGTAGAAATGCGCTATTTCTTGATAAATCAATACAACTATTTCCTTCCTTATTTGAGTCTATCATGCAATTAATCTTATTCCTATGATCATCTTGTGAAGTCAGTTTTTCACGTAGAGTTAATTGGATATTCTTTATATATTTTGAGGAGTTGTTTTCATTTAAATACAATTTATTGAGATTTGAACTATTGCATAGGGTATTCACTTTTTTCATAGACTCATCTGATTTTTCTCAACCATATCGTTTGATATTTGTAAACATTGCTTGGCATAATTATCACCTTGTTTGTTTTCTAAATGTATCCAAAATTTGAAAATATTTACGTTAGTTATTTCTTTAAGGGGTAGTCGTCCAAGTTCATTTCTGCATGCAACATTTGGACACTGTTTATTCACACCTAGAACTTGTTTACAGAATTGAATTTGTGTTTTCTCTATTCATATCATTCTCCCATGAATAACAATCACCTTTATCGAAGATGCTTCAAACCTCAGAGCCATACATCAGAATTGGGAGCCGGATTGAGTGAATTAAATAATTTGGTAGAAATATCTATTGGAAAGTCTAAGAAAGTCAAGGTGCTGACGATTTGCAAATATGGATCTCTTGTCTTTGTCTTTTAGGATTGCTTTGTGTTCTTTAAAACTACCATTTGTGACCCATTTTGTAGAAAATTTTTCCCCAAGGTAGGTGGAACTATTGGTGATTTCGATTTTTTCATGGCTAATGTAAAATTGGTGCTTTAGAGTGGGCGACTTTCTACGTTTCTTTTGGAAGATTATAATTTTTGTCTTCTTGATGTTTATATTAATCATCCAATTGTTACAGAATCTGAAGAGTGTGCGCAATGCTTTTTCTAATCCATTTGCCGATTGTGATATAGGTACCAGGTCATCTGCGAAAAGAATGCAGTTTACAGTCGAACCATTTGGTAGTAATATGGGATCTTTGTCTTGTTTGTTAAGAAAAAATGGACTGAGTCTCATTCAGATAGAGATTGAATAGCATCGGTGAAACGATGCAGCCTTGCCTTACACCATTTCCGTAATCAAAGAAAGCGCTCCTTTGATGATCAAATTTGATGGGACATTTACTTTTCGTGGAAAGGGATTTTATTGGGTCACAAAATTTGCCTCCAATATTGTGCTTAAGTAATTTATAGCGTATAGGCCATCGTGCCATATTAAGTCAAAAGCTTCTCCAAAGTCTACAAAACAAGGGTATAATTTACCATTTTAATTTTAGGTAAAACTGCGATGGCCTCAAGAAAACAGGCACTGACTTCAAAGCTTTGGAGAAATTCTATACGGATATGAACCTGAAACAACTCATTACAAAACCAACCAGGATAACAGCGACCACTCAATCTCTGCTCGACGTTATCCTAGTCTCCTCCAACAATTCAGTGCGTGGTAGCGATGTAATACATCGACCAATTAGTGATCATTCAATTGTTTTGTCAAGCTCAAGGTTAAGAAGCCCAAGACTACCCCTCAGTACATTACCACTCGAAGTTACAAAAAGTATAATGCGGATCTCTTTTTCACGGATCTAGCTAAGGAAGCGGATTCCCTGCTCACTATCTTCGATCAAACCGATGTAGACTCTAAGCTCAATATTTTACATGACACTTTGCAGTCTGTCCTGAGCTTACACGCTCCCGTGAAACTTCGGAGTAGACCGTGCCCTTTTGTGAACCAGGAAATAAAGGATCTCATGAGATCGCGAGATCTCCTCCTGAAGCAATTCATACAGTCTCGCCAAGACACCGAGTGGATAAATTTCAAACATTCCCGTGACTTGGTCAAGAAAAAGCTACAAGAAGCTGAAAGAGATCACACCTTTGAAGAGGTCACAGCTAACTCTGGCTCACTCTGGAAAATTATTAATCGCGCCATCCCCCCCAGTCTTAACCAACGAATTCAATCAGTTTTTTGCTAAAGTCGGCTTAAATGCCGCTGACGCAGTACAGCGCCTGAGGGAAGAACATAACATCATAGTCCGAGATCCTAACCCTAACCATTTCATCCGAAACTGGCATAGATACTACCTCTATGGAATTATTCAATTTAAGGACAGTGTCACGTGAAGAGGTTCGCCGAATTGTAACATCTCTCCCAATGAATAAATCTCCGGGACCGGACAAGATCAGCGCTCGTGTATACTAAAAGACTGTCTCCCTGTCATATTGGGCCCTCTTACTGACATCATCAATTGTTCTATCCTTACTAGCACATTTCCTGACAACTGGAAAGAGGCTGAGGTGATTCCAATTCTTAAAGACGGTGACCATGAAAAAGCTGCCAACAACAGACCGTTATCTCTGCTAGCCGTAGCTTCAAAGGTCCTCGAAAGGATTGTTTTGAATCAGTTCAGCGCCTATCTCACAAAAAACAACCGCCTTACCTCACACCAAAGCGGCAATAAAAAAGCTCATTCTACAGAGACCTTAAACATCCTGCTCACGGATAAGATACTCGAAGCAATGGATAAAAAGCAGATAACAGCACTAGTACTATTAGATCTATCCAAAGCCTTCGACAGTATAGACCATGCAAGGCTGCTCCACAAACTCTCCATCTTAGGAGCCTCACCCTCTACTGTCAAATGGTTCAAGAGCTATTTAACTGGTCGCAGGCAATAAGTGAGAATTGGCTCCGCCTACTCTGACACTCTACCTATAACTCACGGAGTTCCTCAAGGCGCAATCCTATCACCATTGTTGTTCTGCATTTATCTCAACGATTTACCCACGGCACCGACGTTTTGCAACCTAGAATCGTATGTGGATGACTCAAAGCTATTCATGTCATTTCCTCTCGTTGAGCTTGATGCTGCCATTGAAAAGCTCGAACAAGACCTTCACAGTGTAGCTCAATGGTGCTCTGAGAACCATCTACTTATCAATCCCGATAAAACTAAACTCCTTTTCCTCGGTACCAGACAGATGTTAAGCAGGTTACCAGAAGACCCTAGAGTGGTATTCTTAGGTAAAACACTGAAGCCAACAGACTCTGCCAAGGACTTGGGAGTCTTTCTTGACCCCAATCTGACCGACGATCACCATATTTCATGTGTAGTGTCATCTTGTTTCGCAAAGCTTTGCCAAATAAATAGAGTCAAAAGGAGCTTCGAGAAGGAAACACTAGAGTTGTTAATAACGTCATTAGTCTTAAGTAAGATGCTTTACTGCTCATCTGTATGGTCAAATACTACACTCCAGAATATAAACAGATTACAATCTATTCAGAATTTTGCCAGCGAGATCGTAACAAACTCTAGGAAGTTTGACCACGTAACACCTTTGCTTCGAGAGCTAAAATGGCTTCCTGTTAAAGAACAATTATTCTATAGAGACTCCGTTTTGACCTTTAAATGTCAGAACGATCTTGCGCCTCAATACTTAACGAGCAAGTTTACCAAGCGCTCAAATATACATATACTCGTAACACTCGTACACGGAACTCTTTGCAGATTCCGCCATACAGAACGGCTATAGGAAAGAAAGTAATAGTAATACATCAAAAGCAGATTGGTTATATGAACACAAAGCTTGAAGGAGTATGTTTTATTATATTACCCAATCTTCTCTTGCTTGACAACAATTTATCTTCTGACTATTAAAACATCATCTGATAACCTTTTGACAATCATTAGCTTCATTTGATAATAACATTATATTTATTACATTTATGGTCAAAATTTATTACATTCATGGTGAGCCAGATTATTACTTTTATGGTTAAAATTTTATTACATTTATGGTTGATTCTTATTACATTTATGGTGGGTTTTACATTTATGGTTGACTTTTATTGCATTTATGGTTAGTATTACATTTATGGGTGATACAGAGAGCGACAAAAAAAGGTTTTCCAAGGCAACTGTTTATACCAATTCCTCTGTAGTCAGAGGGATCTTGTTTTTTTCAAAATTTAAATATGGGTATTATAATGCCTTCGCACCAATAAGTGGGGAAAACACCACTTTCAAGGATGAGATTAAAGAGTTTACAAATTGAAGTTTTTAAATAAAATGATTCAATTTTAAAAATAACAACATTTTTTGCCACAATAGTAACGATAACATCAGGGCACAAGTAGCTCAAGATAATCGAGACCAGTAGCTTAATATAGGGATAGTCAAAATAAAATAAACAAGTAATTCTTAACCAATCACAAAACTCGTCATTAACATACTTTGGACGGCATAAGGAAAGTTATGACATCTTACGAGAAACACAATTTCAGAAATATTAATAAGCTATAGACACGTTTAAACTATACAAGGAGTTAGTTGTTATGGTAATTGTAACGAAATCAGTGTACACAATCGAGCTTGTTCACCGTCCAAAGCAATAAACGGGTGGTTTTACTTCCATTTCCTCTCTTTTAACCTCGAGGGTCTTGTGGCTAGCTTTACACTTTACTAAGTATGTATGACATTATACACTTAATGCAACAAAAGAATAACCGGAGCGAACCAAAACGAACCAAAACAGTCGACTCGGTACTTATAACAACACAAATTTAATTCTCAAAACCACTGAATGAATGATTTACAAACAAAAGTACTTTCCTTATATCATCTGCATCTTTTTCCCCCACTAGCTGCTGTTTTTCTTCGACTGGGAACTTCTGGGATAACTTTAAAAATGGTTGCTTTTTAGCTTGAGGCTTCGTGATTGTGTTGTTGTGTTCATTCACGAAAAAGAAAACCGGCAGGACCTGGCGGCGTTTTTCCCGCCTTCTGTCACGCCACTTTCCACCATGCTTTGATCACGTGCTGCAATGTATCCCGAGCGGGATACATTGTTTAATGTATCACGATCGGGATACATTTGATTTTAGTCAAGGCCACGTGACCAAGAACCAACCAATGGCAGTCCCTGTTTAGTTGAGTGCAATTCTAGGAATATAACAATACACCATGATTGTTTAATAACATATATTATTATTAATCAATTTTCCGTACCTTCAATTCCTTGCATCACTGCCAGAAGAACGAAAATAGCTTCAAAAGCCATGCTTGACGGCAGGGCCGGTTCCAGTACAGTACACGGCTGCAGCTAAAAATCAAAGGAACTGTTCAAACACAATTACAAATTCAGTCATCAAAAATGTGATTCAGCTAGACATGAAAGTGACTGTATAAAAATGATCAGAAGAAGCAAGTAATATTTTCAACAAACAGAGGCCAAAAAAGGTACATAAATTTATATCAGAACTGAACAAACCAGAGCAAACAGACGTCACTAAAAATTGTAATTGCCGAAATTCCAAAACCTGTCCCATGGAAATGTAATTAGTGCTTGTTAGAGAAGTATTTTATAGTGTGTAAACCAGAAATGTCTACCCTGAACAATAGAAACGAACTTATCTCAGGTTGCAGACACTCAAAGAAACTTCTACTAAACACTGTCCTAACTTGATTAGTTTTTGTCGCAAATCTAACATGTTATTAGCATCACTTAATTAGTTGTGCGACGCGCCACCCTTTATACGCCATGCCTCGTAATTACTTATTGTTGTGTTTTCGCTATATCTTTGATTGTAACTTTTGGCAGTTGCCTGATGATTGCCCCGCAAGAGGCATGAAAGTCTGAAAAATCACGCTTTTTTGTACATTTCTTTGCCGTCACTGCACGACTACGTCTTGAAAATGCCTAATTTCACGTTGTGCAGAGGAAGTACACAAGCGACGACGAAATTTCCACTCTCTTTCTGCACTTGGAAATGGTTCTTGGGAATTCAGCTTTAGGATATGGTTCGCCTACATTTGAAAAAGTTAGTGACTTGGAGTAATCGCGATGAAGATTGAAAGAAGTCAAAGAACACGAATTCACTTTTTCAGCGACGTTTTCTCTGCCGTCGCCGTCCTCGGATCTTTAGGTCCCTATTAATGTCGCTGTGTTGCGCTAAAAATCGTCGTTGCGAATCGTCTGTGTAACATCACCTTTAAGGTCGATGAGGAAATCACTCTGGTACTTCATTAAATTTAAATCAATTTTTTTTTGTTTTTTTTTTTCGGCTTTGGTCTCTCTGTAGACCAAAGGAGTTTCTAAATATCTCAAACTCGATATCTTAACTAAGAATATCACGTAACATAAAATAATGGTCTATAAAGTTGATTTCTGTTTTTAACTGTTGAGAAAAATTAGACGAACTTGGCTTGCCGCACAAGATGCCTTGAGATGCTCCGAGTCTCGGCGGGTGAAAAAAGGAAATTTCCAAAGCCATTCTTAGCACCAAATATTTTGTCAAAACAATGTTTTGAATTGGGCTATTTAATTTTTTTCTGAAAGCAACAAGGGCGTTCTTTTGACATGCACGCGTTCAGTATGACATAGCCGCCATATTGAATTTGACAATTGCGACAAGAAATTAACTAAAAGAAAAAGGAAAAAATATCAATTTTATCGTTAGGAAAATAAATTTAGAAAGAAGACCAAGTAATCCGAAAAAAGCCTTAAAAAAAACTGCGATTATATTGCGACCGAATCAACTACTTCAGGTTGTTCTTTCGTGGTCGCAATCTCAACTGTAGTTCGGATTGGCTGCCCATATCTTTATTTTTTGCCTTCTAAAACAGCTTTCGCTTCAGTTTAGTTCGTACGATTTTCGCTTTTGTAAATCAGTGATCTTGAATGCTTACGCTGGGACTACGATGTACTCAAAAAAACGACACCTTTGGCGCTTTTAATTTGATTCTTTCTTTGTACAGGGGTGATGTATTTTATATTATTGCTTGAAAAGCCTTGAAATCACTTTCTTGGTATTTTTTCCTCTTTAATCAGAGCCTTCAAGGGAAATCGAAAAAAGTTCGAGTTATCGGGAGCTTGAAGAAAATAGCCGAGACTGAAGGTAAAAAATAGTTTTTACTGCACAGTGAACATTTTAATCACATTTAATTGTAGAAATGTCAAATGAAAATTAAAAGATACTTCTAGATTATAAATCAGAACGTAACGTAACAAAAAATAGCCTAAATAGAGCATGCGTTTTACTGTTTTGAGAAGTAAAGCTGCTTCACGTTAGCCTGTGACAATCAAAATCAGCCTCCAGTAGTAAACCGTACTCCTACAACACGTTAATAGGAAATCCAAAATTCAATCTTTCGGACGCCAGTAGACGGCTTTTTTCCCGACTCTTTAAGGGCTCAAAACATGGTTCGAGTTATTGAGGGTACAATTATATAGAAAACGACCTGAGGGGAAACGAAAATTGGTTCGAGTTAGCGGGAGTTCGAGTTATCGAGGGTTCGAGTTACCGAGAGTAAAATTACAGTAAATGTATGACGGAAATCCAGGGGAAATCTAGCCTCCCCGCAGACGTCCCGTGGGGTTCAACCCGAAAGGACGTCTGCAGGGAGGCTAGGGGAAATCGATTTTGGTTCGAGTTAGCGCGAGGTTCGAGTTAGCGAGGGTTCGAGTTATCGGGAGTCGACTATAGTTTAAATTGGCTATTTATGCGAGGTAAAATAAGACATGTCTTACGTAAGACGCGAACTTCCCATACAATTGGTTTACACAGAATCTCGTTTTTTGAAACTCGTTTACTATATGTAGCACACGGGTGTTAGTTTGAGCCAGCTAAAACTATTAAAGCTAAATAGTAAATACAAAATGCCTAAAAATAATATTTAACACTAAAATAAACTAAAAATGAGCAGCATAAAAGATATGAAATTGACTGCATACCAGCAAAGTCAATTTTGAATATTAGGTTTTTAAAAGAGCTAAGATCCTGAGATAATCTATTATCTTTAAGAGAATTCCATAAGTTAGGCCCTAAATATCTAACCGATTTTAGTCCACGTTATATTACATTTGGAAAGAGATAAAATATGCGAATTCAGTGAGACAAGCCCTAGTAAGGACAGTCCGTAACGAATGCTAAAGAAAACCTGACATAAATGACCTTTGACGCAGGGGCAGAAAATAATTATTATTCATGCGTTACCTTATTATAGGATATTAACGCTCCATGAAATTAACGCGAATCGTCAAAATTCGCGTTAATTTAAGTCGCTTTAATTTTGTTGAGCGTTAATTTCCACGACGTTAATTAAGTGCAGCGTTAATTTCCTCGCCCTTAATTTCCAGTATTTTAACCCCAATTTTGGAACCTCTCCAGACATTCTTGACACCTAAACAACATTAACTACAAGCTTTCTTTCTTTCCATTTACCCTTTATTTTTAATCTTTCACAAAAGCTAAGGCGAAGGTTTACAATATTTCGAGTTCATCTTCGTCTCCAGTGTTGAAATAAATTTGTTCCAGTTGTCACCACCAACTGTCTTAATCGCGTTAATTTCCTTTATTATGAAATTCTACCTCCTCTTTCGCGTTAATTTTCTTTATTCGAAAGTCGTTTTCTATTAAATTCGCGTTAATTTAAGTTGCGTTAATTTCCAATACCTTAATTTCATGGAGCGTTAATTTCCTATAATAAGCTATTATTTTAAGATTTGACGGGAAATTTTCGCGCCGCCGCCGAAGACTGGCAGTAAAAATTGTTTGCGATAAACGAACAGTTTTTCTTGTTTGCTTTTTTGTCAGTGATGAGGCAACTTCCGATCTTCTTAACAATGTCACATCTGCTTGTGTAAGAATAAACTTAGTTGGTAGCAAAGACCCATTCTGAACAAAAACGTCTTTAAAATATTACCTCGGTGACAGATCGCAACGTGCCGCCTTGCGAACTGATACGAGCTGCATGTTCTCATCTTATGTAAAACCACCCTCGGAGACCCAGGGGCAATCAGTCGGGTCGGGAGAAAGGACGTGACGAAAGTTTTCAAGTACGGGCGAAAGAGCCCCTGGGTACCGACTCTCACCGAACTATTTCCAAAAATTCAAGCGGATGCCGGCTCCTGAAAGGGCACAAAAAATGCTTTGTACTATTGTGCCCAATCGGCGAACAGTTTCTCCTGAGCTCTTTTCGTGAGTTCGTACACAACGGCTATTGTTTTGTCACATTTGCACGGTTCGTTCACCAAGCTTGTGCGAGCAAAGGAAACTTTTATTTTCTACTTTCCTAACCAGAAACGAAGGAACTACCGATGAGTCGAAAAAACGTTTGGGATGCTATCAGCAGGAGTAATTCAATTTGCCCCGAGAACATTTTGTTTTTGACTCATCACAATGTATCGCAAATAATAGGAAGGTAAAGATGCGGAGCCGACGAGAAAGTCAAATAAGCAATAGCTTGACAAGGCAAAACAACAACTTTGCACGTGCATTACACTTTTTTGTACATTTCTTTGCCCTCACCTGCACGACTACCCGTGATCGTGTCCGTGATCGTGTAGAGGTTCACCCACAGAAGAAAAAAGAAATTCTTAATATTTTGTAAAAAAAAAACCTGGGCGAAATAGGAGAGTCGAGTGATCAGCTTTCAGAATCAGAGTCGGAATCTTAATGCTATGGTATTACAAAGAACAGATTAGAAATATATTTTGAGCTTTCATAATACTGACTCACCCTAGTGTATTGCAAGAACTAGGTTTTATTATTTATACAAGAGGGGGAGGGTCATGATATTTTAGGCCAAGGTCAAGGGGAGGGTTAGCAAAATTCACTCCCATTGCAGGGATGGGTCACCTCATTTCCGAACACAAATTTAAAATTCCCACCCCCTTCCCCTCTGCCAATTTCCGACAAGTCCCTTAGGCTAAGAAGATTGTAGACCTTTGTTTAGTGCATCTACATTTTTTCTCTTTTAATACCGAGTCATAACTGATTCAGTTCAGTATTTCCTTCAGTTTGTTAATCTCCTAGCAAGTCACTTATCCTTACTGAGGCAATTTCAGCAAAAAAACAAAATACTGATTATGTTAGTTGTATTCGCCAAAAACGTTTTTGTCAGGCACACATGGGAAACTTGAAATTTTTAAACTTAGTAAGTTAAAATGGGTAGTGGGTATTCTTGATACCTTTCCCTTTATATCTTATATTATCTGTTATTGACAATTCCATTTTTTTGGTTCATAGCACTTGGCAGCAAGAGTTTTGTGCCAATATCGTAAACAGCTTTCTAAAATAAGACGTTGATAGTAGTCTGTAGAATACGTTATACATGTCGCAGAGTCCCAGTCAATTTGATGTTTCATCTTTAAATGGTGCTCAGCAATGTGATTGTTGATGTCACCATTCCTCGTCATTCGTTTGTGTTCGGTCAGTCGCGTGCTTAGGTTTCAGTGTTATAAAATAACATCTCTAATAATTATGTTCACTGTCTTGTGTGTCCTCAGGTGAATCAAATCCAGGCAAAAGAGCATCGGGCAAATTGTGATTTGGATGAGATCGCTGCAATTCTTCTTTGCCACAATCTTTTCACACCTATGATGTTTTAAGTACTCTCATCTGAGCCTCACATTGTATTGCTAAAGAGCTTACCAGCTCATACACTGTCAGTGTATTTCACTTCTGTTCCTTGTTAGCGCATGGTGTAGTCAAGTTTAGCTTGAGGAGTTCACTTGGCAAGGTTTATTGCAGATGAAATTTCTTGCAGTGTAAGGCGACCTTGGGAAAGCATCATTTTGATGACAATCTAAGAATATGAAATATATATACAGTGTATGCGTTCTTTGGGGACAAAAATGGTGACTTATTTGATGTTAAAAAAGCAGCTTCTACAATATAAATGAAATGCTTTTTTAAAAGAATGGATTACGTAAGCAAGAAAGCAAGAGTCAGTGACCTAGTCTTGTGCCAGGGGGGAAAGGGTAGTATAGAAGAAAAAATGTCCATATTTCAGCTGTCAAATGATTGCAGAAGTTGGCATATTATATAATCTCTGCACTTTTGGCATGGGGCATAGCTTTTAAGTAGCCGTGCACTCTATGGTCAAACCACATATATAAGCATTAGAAAATGTTCATCTGAGTTTACAATACCTCATCTTTTTCATGTTTGTTTTTCTTGAATTCTGCTCTTGCCCAATCTGCAAGCTCTTTCTTGTGATCTTCGTCCGGCACTTCTCGCAAAGTTCGAAGAATTTGTCTGTAGAGGCTCAAAACTTGTCGTCTAAGAAAGAACTATTAGGACAAAAATTTTGTTATCTAGCTATCTGCAAATCAGAGAAAGGCCATTACACATAAACAAGAATATTTTTACCTGCTTCAAATTCAATGCCGTTTGCGGCAACTTTCCAGTCGCCATCTTGACTGATTGTGTAACCCAGCCTGGGATCTGGGGCGAGTTTTCCTCCAAGGAGACAAACGACAACAAACATGGCGGACAACAAACGGGAATCATCGTCTTTGAAAAATTTGCTTGAAACTGTCTATGAAGTGCATAGAAAGGACATTAAGACCTACACAAGTGGTCACCTCAATTCAAGCAAACTTTTAAAACCTCCAGAAGCACGTCATAAAAGATGGGAAACGGCGGATAAACCGCCAATTCGGTGCGTACAGGCTTCGCATATTAGATTAACAAGAAATGAGTTTATTACTTAATTATATGTAGTAATCGCGGCCTTTTTAAGTGTGTTCAGTGTGTGTAGCTGTGTTTTTTCCACTTAGTCTCAGGTATGATCTGCGAGCCATTTTTCGTATTTATATTTTCCGTGTTTATTGTAGTTTGAAGCCGCCCTGCCGTCTTATTGATCTCCCAGTCAGAAAAGGTGAACTGAGTGCAACGGAACTCCGCCACAAGACCATGGCAGATCGCCTTGTCGAATTCAGTCTGGGACCAGTAAGGAATCTTGCACTCAGTAAGTTGTTTATCCAATATACATTGCGCATACATATATATTGTATAGTGAACTGTTTGACTAGAAGATGTTTTTAATGGTGGACTCTTTTTTGGTAGAAACTCGGCATTCCCCTATACCTCACTTTATGGTAATATCCTCTCTTTTTTTACGAAAAAAACAGCAACAACAACAGCAACAACACATAAAAAGAAAGAGTGTTGTTAAAGCAATGAGCGATGCGTTAAGGAATTCCACGGAAATTCTTAAGCTGTTTTTGTTCACTGTACATTCATCATGGATAATTAATATTTTTTTCATTGTTAGGCACCGGGGAGTGCTTCTTACTTCAGCGTGCAAAGAAAGTTGTGTCTGATAGCCCGGGGCTTGTGGATTTTGCTATCGGGCCAGTGAATTGTGTTCTTAACTTGCCCAATGGAATAAATTCTGCCCATCCAAAATTTTGGGGGCTAGTTGAAATGATGTTTGGGCTAGTAAATGCTTGCTTCAGCTTGCCCTGATGGCAAGCTGTAAAAATGACTTTCTTTGCACCCTGTACTTCCATTAAAATTTGGTAAAGTCAATTTACCACCATAAAAAGATTGAAAAGCTGATGCCTGGCTGTAGACCTTCGTCAGGATGCCCAGCCAGGCAAAGGACTGGCA